AGGGGCGCAAAAAGGCAGCGTGGGTCCGAGAGCGCCTCTGCACCCCGCCCAGGGCCCGCCCCTGCCACGCCCTCGCCGCCACGGCTGGCTTTTTTCCCGCCAGGCTGCGGTCCAAAAGCGCACCCTCGGGCACAGCCAGGGGGGGCCCGCCTTCGGGCCCGGACCTCCTGTCGGCTCCGCACGCCAGAATTTGCTTGGTCGTCGAGTCCATGAAACATGCCACGCCTTTGTTTTGTATAGAGTCGACGAGGAAATCCAGCTTGGGGTACGTCGATTCTGTAGCCGATCCCCTACTCGACGGGGTTGTTCTTAGTGTCTAATGGGGCGCCGGGATGCCGCCCTATGCGAGGGGGCGGTGGATCCCACGAGGCCCATTCCGACCTGGCGGCTTTTTGTGGGCTGCTCCCCGGGGCCTCGCGAGGGCCCCCAGTGGCCGAGCCAGGCCCAAAACATCACGTCGCGGTGTTTTTTCCTCCATTCGCGAGGGGGCCTGCGTCCAGGGGTCAGGATCGCTCCCCGCCGCCTGGGGTGCATTGTCTGACCAGAACACAGGGCGGATCCAGCCGTGGGAACGAAGAGCCTTCCAGAGGCCCAAGCCGGAGAGAAGAACGTCCAAAAGCCTCAAACCGCGAGGTTCGAGGTCCTCGCGGCTCAAGGGGTCTGGGTCCAAGTGGGCCCTCGACAAGGCAGATGTTTTTGCAGTTTCCGAAAATCTGGTCCTCAAAAATGGAAAAAAGCAACAGACGTATACAGACAAGAGACAAAAAGGCACTGACACCGGAACAGGAACCAGAACCGCAGCAGAGAGCAGCGACGGGACCAGAAGACGGACAGCGACGGAGCCGGAAGCGAAACGGAGGAACGGAGCCGAACGCAGAAAAACGTCCCTTCAGTTTCCAGTGGGCGGCTCGCGCCAGAAGGCAACGCGTGGGGAGCGGCCTTCTCAGAGGGCGGGGAGCTCCTTAAAGCAGGCAAGGGGCCCCCTCAGAAGCCTCCCCTGCTCTTGAGGAGCCTTCTTTGCAGCCTCCAGGCCCCTGCAGGAAGGCACCTGTCTTCCTCCTCCTCCTCCTCCTCCTCCTCCTCCTGCTCCTCCTCCTCCTCCTCCTCCTCCTCCTCCTCCTCCTTCCTCCTCCTCGAAGGCCACCCCCCTGCCGCCACCCCTCGCGCGCGCCGCCAAGCTGGGCCTGGGCTCTTCCGGGGCCTTCCCCTGGGGGGGCACAAGCGGTGGTGCGACGACAGATCACGACTCTCGCGATCTGCCACTGGCGACTGCACCAGGCCGCGGCTGGATGTTGCTGGAGACCGCCCAGTGCGGAACAGCTGGGGGAGGAGACTCCACCCGCACACGCGCACAACTCCTGACCGGGTCCTCCCCGCGGTCCTCGGGCTCTCGGACCCTCCACGGGCGCAAGGACTGTCAAAAAAAACGGTTCGGGATGAAAACCCACCCCCGGAAGAAGTGAACGGGACTCCCAGGGACCCTATTTATGGAACAAACACGATCTCGGATGTCTGAGGGAGGAATATTGGAGAGGCCTGACGGCCGGTGCCGCCGACCCTGATCGAAAGGGCTAGGAGTGGGGGGAGGAAGCGGAGGATGAGGAGGAGGAGAAGGAGGACGAGGAGCAGGAGGAGGAGGAGGAGGAGGAGGAGGAGGAGGAGAAGGAGGAGAAGGAGGAGAAGGAGGAATATTTTCCGATACCGCTGCTCGTCCTGGAGAGCCCACGCCCGCGGGGCTCGCCCGCCGGCGGCCACGCGCGTCCCTCCTCGCCCCCCCCCGCGGCCCCCCGTTCGCTTCCAGGGCCCCGCGGAGGTGTGGGCCCGGGGCCCGCCTGCTATAGTCTGAAGTCGGGCGTGTCCCTCTGCAGGAGGAAGATGCAGAGATAGTCAGAAAGACATCGTCTGGGGACCACTTTGGATAATTTTTTGGCTATACTCTAGGGTCTCTTCTTGCGTTTTTTGTTAAAAGTTGTCGTCCGAGCTCCGCCTGCAGGGGCACGGGCCCGACCTAAGTCTGGTCCCGCCCCTGGCCGAGACCCCGCGGGCGCCCGCGCGACCCGCCCTGCGGTCGCCGCGCGAGGGCGGCCTGCGCGAGGACGAGGACCCGCACGCCCGCGCTCGCGCTCGCGCTCCGCGGGCGCCCCACGGCCTGGGCCGCACGGCGACGGCAGCGGCGTTCCTGTCGGCAGCTTCGTCTCGGAGGTGCTGGTGGTTGATGATGATGCTGATGATGCTGATGATGATGCTGCTGCTGCTGATGCTGATGATGCTGACGATGATGATGCTGATGATAATGATGATGATGATGATGATGATGATGATGATGATGATGATGATGATGATGATGATGATGATGATGATGATGATGATGATGATGATGATGATGGGACGTCGATGCTGATGGTGATGGCGATGATTCCGATGATGGGGACGACGACGGTGATGGTAATGGTTGGTGGTGATGATGGCGATGGGTCTAGTGATGCTGATGCTGATGCTGATGGGACGTCGATGCTGATGGTGATGAAGATGATGGAGATGATGATGATGATGATGATGCTGATGATGATGATGACGGTGGTGATGATGATGATGATGATCATGACGGTGGTGATGGTGATGGTCATGATGATGGTGCTGGGTATGGTTATGACGATGCTGACAACGACGAGGAGAAGGGGGACGACCATGATGATGATGATGGTGGTGATGGTGATCATAATGATGATGGTGATGATGATGGCAATGGTGATGGTGATGGTGATGTCTGTTTTGGGAATGATGGTGAGGATGATGATGATGGTGATGATGATGATGTTGGTCATCTTGATAGTGATGTCGATGATGATGATGATGAGGATGACGATGATGGCAATGGTGATGACGATGTTGGTTATAATGATGATACTAGTGATGATAATGTTGATGACGATGGTCATGATGATGATTATGCTGAGTTTGATGATGATGTTAGGTGTGATGGTGATGGTGATGGTGAATGTGATCATGATGACAATGGGGATCGCGACGACGCGGCGGAAGGGGAGGAGGAGGCGGATGATGACGATGGTGATAAGGACGAAGCTCATTACGATGATGATGGTGCGTCTGATGATGATGAGGATGAGGATGAGGATGGTGTTGCTGCTGATGCTGATGAAATTTAGGATGAGGTTGTTGATGGTGCTGGCAATGGTGATGGTGATGGTGAAGGTGATGGTGATTGTGATGATGGTCCTGATGATGATGATGATGATGATGATGATGATGATGATGATGATGATGAGCATGATCATGACGATGTTGATCATGGTGATGATGACGGCGGTGATGATGATGATGATGATGGTGATGATGATGGTGGAGATGGCGGTTGCTGCTGCTGCTGCTGATGATGATGACGATGATACTGATGTTGCTGCTGCTGATGCTGATGATGATGATGATGATGATGATGATGATGATGATGATGATGATGATGATGATGGTTGTCGTCGTGGTGATATGTCTCGTCGTGAGCGCTAGGCCTGTGCCTATGGCGTGTCTATGGTTGCTCTCTTGGACTCTTTAGCTGCCCCCGAGGTGCCCTGGCTGACATAGCGGGTTGAGCCCCAGCCGCACGACGGCGACGGAGACGTTCATGTCAACGTCTTCGTATCAGATGTTTTTGGGCGTTGGACCAGCAAAATTGCCCAGGATGGGCCGTCCGAGGGGTCTGTGGGTTCCTGCCTGGGGCGTTTTGCCAAACCCTCCTGTGTGTTGGGCCTCGTTTTGAACCCGCAGCGCCGCGCTCAACCTTCCTTCCTCCTCTCCCTCCTCCTCCTGCTCCTTCTCTTTCTCCTCCTCCTCCTCCTCCTCCTCCTTCTCCTCCTCCTCCTCCTCCTCCTCCTCCTCCTTCCACGTTCCGCAGTGTCACCATGCACTCCTCGCACGTTTCGTGGCCCCACAGGTCCACAGGGAGTCCCTCCCAGGGTCTCAGGGTCTCAGCCGGCGCGGCGGCGCGGGGTCCCTCCGCCCACTTCGGCGAACCCCTCACTCGCTTCGTGGCCCCACAGGAGGCTCCACCTGCGGTCTCTTTCGGCGCGACAGCATGGGGTCCCCGCGCCCAATTCGGCCCGCACGCCTCGTGCCTCCGTAGGCTGGAGGGGATCAGGAGGACCCAACACCACAGGATAGCTACGCAGGGAAGTCAGCAGAAGGTTTTTGACAGCTTGTAGTTCCTGATGGCTTCCCTGCGCTCTTTCATCGGGCCGTCAAGACACAACGAAACGTCAGCCACGGGAAAGGGGTCGGGTCCTCCGCGGCCCCATGCTGCGAGAAGCATCACGACGTCGGGCCAGGCCGGTGCACAGGTATCCTATGGTCCAGGGCAGGGGGGCCTGCTCACTGGCCAGAGGGCCCCGGCCTCGGCCCTTGCAAATCTGCTGCACGACTTCGGGCCTCTCGTCCTCCTCAGAAGGGCACCGCCGTCCCTGGCCAGGGTAGCCCTGGGCCCCTGGCTGGTGTGCACTCCTGTCCTGAGGCCAGGGGGGACAGGGGCCCAGGGCCGTTTTTTTCACCGTTTCCGAAAAAATGTCCCTTGAACATGGAAACGCCAAAAAAACGGCGACCGGAAACTGCCAAAAAACGGCTCCAGGATTGGAACCGGAGCCGGAACCGGTAAAAACACGGCGACGGGACCAGTAAAAAACGGCGTCGGAACCGGTGTAAAAACGGCAAAACGGAACCGGTAAAAAAACGGCCCTGTCGCTTCCAGGGCCCACTAAGGCCCAGGGCCCAGGGTGGGCCAAGACTGGTGGTGGTGAACAGTTCCCGGAGACGGGGCAAACATGTCCGACGTCGTGACAGTGCTGGGACCCGGTAAAGGCCCCCCAGAGGCAACCACATGTTTTAAACATTGCGATGTGTTTTCACACTGCGAGGGGGTATGTGGTGTCGAGGTCTCCGTGGTCTCGTCTTTTACAGGCCAGACGGTACAGCACGCCCCGCCCCCGTCCGGTAGCCACTTTGGCTCTCGGTGTGCGAGTGGTGCGTCGCTCGGAGATGTCGCGAAAATTGTCACAAGTTCTGGGCGATGCCGACGCGGACGAAGACCTCAAGGAAGACCTCACGCCCAGAGTGGGCGAGGCGCTGGTCCGCGCCACTCGGGTGGAAGACGAGGAGGGTCAGCTGCAGGAAACGCTCGGGCTGGAGGCGTGGCAGACAAACTGGGACGACGTCCATGCCAGGCTGAAGAAGATGAGCCTGCCAAACCTGGACTTCATCCTGCAGCCGTGCAGCATGAAGCCCGCGCCAGGTTCTGGCATCGTGGGCCGCGTGGACCTGGCCGTCGAGTACCTGAAGGGGGTGGCCAAGGAGACGCGGGCCACTATCCGGGAGGAGGAGCGGGTGGAGCGGCTCAGGCGCGAGGCCGAGGCCGCCAAGGCAAACAGGGAGCTCTGGGGAAGCCTGCGGATCCAGAGCTGGTTCCGCGCCTGGGTGCCTCGGCAGGCCTTCCTCGACCACATGAGGGCCACCGCCAATGCCCGGCGGGCCCGTAAGCAGGCCGAGGAGATCGCGAGGAAGTGGCAGCGCGTGGGGCCGCCCCCGGACAGCGCCGTGGTCTGGCTGCACGACCGGGGCGAGAGCGCGGCCACGTACAATCTGATGGGCCGATTTTCCCCCCCACCGCCACCCGCTAGCATAGGCAAGGGAGGGAGATGGGAGGAGGAGGAGGAGGAGGAGGAGGAGGAGGAGGAGGAGGAAGAGGAGGAGGAGGCGGACGAGGAGGAGGAGGAGGAGGAGGAGGAGGAGGAGGAGGAGGAGGAGGAGAGGAGGAGGGAGGAGGAGGAGGAGGAGGGAGGAGGAGAGGGGGAGGAGGAGGAGGAGGAGGAGGGAGGAGGAGGAGGAGGAGGAGGAGGATGAGGGAGGAGGAGGAGGAGGAGGAGGAGGAGGAGGAGGAGGAGGAGGAGGAGGAGGAGGAGGAGGAGGAGGAGGAGGAGGAGGAGGAGGAGGAGGAGCGGGAGGAGCAGGAGGAGCAGGATGGCCTCCCCATCCTCCCTTTTCCCCCGCCCCACCCAATGGTGGCGGTGGTGGGACCTCCAGCCCATCGCGAGCAGCGCCTCGGCGGGCTCGGCGGCGGCTCCTGCCGCTGGGTGTGGCCCCGCGCCCCGCCCTCGCCCAGCGGCGTGCCGCAGTGGTTCGAGACCCCGGAGCTGCCCGTCTGCGCCGTGGTGCGCGGCGTGCCAGACCGGCCGAGGCGGGAGGAGCAGGCCGAGGAGGTCGCGGGCCGCCGTGCCGAGGGCCCGGAAGTTTGGGAGGCAGCGAGGCCCAGACCCCCTCGAACCACGAGGAGAAGTCGCGATTGCCAGCCGTGCCGTATAGCGATAGTGCAGCACACGGCTTCGGAGGACGGGGTTCCAGAGGGAGGGGTCCCCGGAGGTGTGTGTTCGCCGTCGTCGGGCTCCCCTGCAGGACCCCCGGGCCGCTAAGAGATTCGGAAGGAAGGCGTCTGGGAGTAAGCCCCAGGGCCCGCCGCCGCCGTTGCTGTCGCCGTCGCTGGCGTCGTCGTTGTCGTCGTCGTCGTCGCCGCCGCCGTCGCTGTCGTCGCCGTCGTCGTCGTCGTCATCGCCGCTTCCATCATTCCGACCTGGGCCTGCCCGGGGCGACACGCACTCGTCTTGAGAGGCGCAGGCGAGGCCCAGGGGGGCCCCAGCGTGGCGCCGAGAGGCGGGGGCGTCGCTTGGGCCAGGAGCCTTCGCCGGAGACTCGATGCCGCGAGGGTATAGGAGGGGAAGCAAACGAGGGGCAAGCAAGCACGGGGACCGATCACGACCAGGGCCCTCGACCCCGGCTGCCTGCTGCGCCTGTCGAGCCGGGCTGATCCGCGGAGGGGCCCCGGGGCCCGCCGAGCGCGGGGCGGGAGCGCACGATGAGGACGCAAATGCGACGTGGGAGCCTCAGTCAAGCAGTGGCGAAGCGTCCTGGCTCGCCTATAGCCCTGCCAAAGAATGTTCTCAGAACCTTTCGTGGTTCCCACGAAATGTTCTTAGAACATTTCTGGCTGGGACTGTCTTGTTTTAACACATCGGGCTTATGTTCTAAGAACATTGTTTTTGCTCTTAGAACATTTTGGGGTTCTAAGAACATTTCGTGGTAGGACTATAGGAATGCCGGGACGGTCGGTCCCTGCTCAAGTGCAAGGGCGCGCTTCTGGCTAGTGCTTCGAGGTGGACCCTATCTCGGCGACGAGGAGTCAGACTCCCTCGCGGGGGGCAGAAGCAGACCACGACGTCAGAAAAGCACCGACCATCGAGGTCTCCTCGGGAGGCGGTGGTGCGAGGACAGATATACGTCCTAGGGCTTTCCTGGAACGTGTTCGGAGCGTTCTGGAACGCTCCGAGAAGGCCGCGGCGCCCAACACCTCTTCCAGAGCCGCCGGGTTTCAGAGATTCTCCAATTTAGCCTCGCCCGATGTTGTCCTCGTCCTGGCGTCGGCCTATTTCACGGGCCTCGGGGTCTGGCAGCCTCCGAGAGGTCGCGAGCGCCGTGGGGAGGGTGCACGTGGTGCTTCAGTCCCTGGAGGCCCGCGGCGGACGAACACAAGGGCGTGGGTAAGAAACCCAAGAAGAAGTGAGCAGGTAGTTCCACCACGGAGCAGAGTTGGGGCCATGGCGGCACGGGGGCAAGGGTGGGGAGCCCTTGCCGGTGACGGGGATGCAGCTGACAGCCAGCGCGGAGCTTTTGTTCGTGCAGTCCTCCCTCCTCCATCTCCCCTCCCCCCGGAGCAAGAATACGTGGTTTCTGTAGTAACGGATGCCGCCAGCAGGGAAAATGACAGATCCTGTCGTAACGGCGGCCGTGGCTTTGTGAAATGCGGCCGAAGTGTCGCAACGCTGAGCTGTTGCTAAGAATAGGCGGGCTTTGTCGCAACCGATGCCGCAAGCTGCACTTGCCGGCACGTAGCGCTCCTCCTCCTCCTCCTCCTCGTCTTCTTCCTTGGCTGTTGCATTCACCGGCGTCGCTCCCAGGCTGGAGTCCATGGTAGTTTTTTCTCCGGTTCCTGAGCGCAGCCGTGCGCCGCCGCAGGGGTGGCGGTGGCACGTCGCTGCCGACTGCGTCCCTGCAGAGGCGGGACGAGCGGACAGCGTGCCCACGTTGATGCGTCTGCTTTGCTTTCCTCGCCTTTTCGGGCCTCGGGGTCTCGTCCAAGAGAGACCACGCGCCGCATTTGCGGTTGAAACTTCTGAACCGAGCTAGACTTCCGAGCTGATGGGGAGTAGCGATGGCCAAAAAAAAAAAAGGGCGTGGGTCGCGACGGGGGGGTGCACAGTGAGCGGCCTGAATAAGGAACACGTGTTTTTCAAAAGGGGCTCGGTCGTTCCTTAGGCCTGCATGCGTTATTCACAGTTCCTTATGCGTTATTTATTGTTTATCGTTCCTTATGCGTTATTCCTTGGGATAAAAGCAGGGGGTTCGTTCCTCATTTATCGTTCCTTAGGTCAGGCCGATGACTGTACGACATCCGCGGCGCGCAGCGGGAGCGCTGGCTGCGCGCAGCCGGTTCTTGACCCCCTCGTGAAGGGCACAGGCATCGGCACGAGCGGAATGGGTACGGAACGGAAAGGCTGGGCACGAAGGCCGACAGCAGTTCTTGGTCGTCGAATTCTAGCAGGCCTCGCGGTCGGTGTCGCCACGGGCGTTGCCCACGCGAGGCGAGAAGGCCGCCTGGCCAACTGCGGCCGCTGGCGGTTTCGGACAAGCTTGGTGGCTCGGCAGCGTACGCATTTCTGTTCCGTATCCACGTCGGGCGTCTAACGAGAGAGCCCCCGAGGCAGTGCCGGCTGGCCCGAGCACGGCCCCCGAGCAGCCCAGAGTAGTATCGACACCTGAGCTTCCAGTCGGGTATGTCCACCCCAAGGAGGAACGCGCAAACATAGCACCAAAATGGTCCGGGGACGATGTCTCGATGCTTTTGGGCCACGTTTGGCGTGCCTTCGACCATGACTTCATTTTTCTTCCGAAAGCCGCCTGCAGGAGGACATTCGGGCCAGACGAAAGGGGGGATAGGGAAAGGGGGGGTTACGAAATCTGCTGCATGCAGCTGATTTCGGCCCCGCAGCCGGGCCCATTCCTCGATGCATGGGCGCCTCCCAGCGCCTGGGGGCGCCGGGAAAGTCAGCTACGTGAGCTGATTCTCAAACCCCCCCTTTGCTGTCTCCCCCTTTCGCCCGGTCCGAAGGAGGACATGCCCGACCTGGCCCCAGCTCCAGCCCTGCGCGAGGCTCGAAGCGCCCCCAGGGGGCGCCGCCTCTGGCGGCGCCCAGATGCCGAGGTCGTCCGGGACGGCATTCGTGTGGACGCCCGTGCGCAGCCCCAGGCGATGCCACTCTGAGGAGCCTGCTTTCCACCAGCATCACCATAAGTTAGAGGAGGAAGGAGTGGAGGAGGAGGAGGAGGAGGAGGAGGAGGAGGAGGAGGAGGAGTTGGAGGAAGAGGAGGAGGAGGAGGAGGAGGAGGAGGGAGAAAAGAAGAATAAGAATAAGAAGAATAGAAGAGGAGGAGGAGGAGGGGGGAGGAGGAGGAGGAGGAGAGGAGGAGGAGGAGGAGGAGGAGGAGGAGGAGGTGGAGGAGGGGGGGAGGAGGAGCAGGAGGAGGAGGAGGAGGATCAGGAGGAGGAGGAGGAGGAGGAGGAGACGAGGAGGAGGAGGAGGCGGAGGAGGAGGAAGGAGATGAGAAGTTTTAACACGCGTGCTTTGGCGTGCGCAAGCGTGCCAGGGGTCTCGGCACCCTGGGCGGGCACGCGCCGCACGCGCCCGCGGGAGGGTGGGTCCGCGGCCTCAGTGCGCACCCTTCTCCCTGCCTCGCCCGTCGCTGCCGACTGCCGCGAGTCGCAGCACCCATCGGGCGGCGGCAGCGTCAGTGTCGCTGCTGCTCGCCTTGAGCTCAGAGCTCGAGGAGCAGCCTGATGGACGGCCGTTGCCGCTCCTCGGGTCTTCGCTCCTTCAGGGTGCGCTCTGGCGGCGGCACCCTTGGCTCGTGGGGCTGCTCGGCCGCCTCGTCGTTCTTAGCAGACGTCCTGCACGCCTGGCTTTGGCGTGCGCCACTGTGGCCTAACCCCTCGCCGAGCTGGGGGCCTGCTGCGGCCTAACCCCTCGCCGCGCTGAGGATCGCTGTGGCCTAACCCCCCGCCACGCTGGGGTCCGCTGCGGCCTGAACCCTCGCCGCGCTGGGTTTCGTTGTGGCCTAACCCCTCGCCACGCTGGGGTTCGTTGCGGCCTAACCCCTCGCCACGCTGGGGTCCGCTGTGGCTTAACCCCTCGCCACGCTGGGGCCCGCTGCGGCCTAACCCCTCGCCGAGCTGGGGTCCGCTGTGGCCTGAACCCTCGCCGCGCTGGGTTCCGTTGAAGCCTAACCCCTCGCCACGCTGGGGTTCGTTGCGGCCTAACCCCTCGCCACGCTGGGGTCCGCTGGCCTAATCCCGCACCGCGCTGGGGTCTGCTGTGGCCCAACCCATCGCCGCGCTGGGGTCCTGCGCGGCCTAACCCCTCATCGCGCTGGGGTCTGCTGTGGCCCAACCCCTCGCCACGCTGGGGTCCGCTGCGGCCTAACCCCTCGCCGCGCTGGGGTCCTCTGTGATCTAACCCCTCGCCACGCTGGGGCCTGCTGCGGCCTAACCCCTTGCCACGCTGGGGTCCGCTGCGGCCTAACCCCTCGCCACGCTGGGGATCTCTGCGGCCTAACCCCTTGCCGCGCTGGGGTCCTGCGCGGCATAACCCCTCGCCACGCTGGGGCTGGCTGTGGCCGCACCCCTCGCCACGCTTGGGTCCTGCTGCTCCTGCTTGTCCTACTGCTGGCGCCAGGCTATCTTCTCCTGCGTCCTGGTGGGTGTCCCACTGCTGGTGGTTCCCGATGCAGACCTCCTCGTCTTCGCAGGGGTCGTGTTCTTCGATGTCCACGGTGCTGCGTCCTGCTGGCGGGGGAAGGGCACCCTGTGGGGCTGGCCCACGACGCTGTGGCCTAGCTCTTCGCCACGCTGGGGTCCTCTGTGGCCTAACCCCTCGCCGCGCTGGGGCCTACTGTGGCCTAACCCCTCGCCGCTCTGGGGTCCGCTGCGGCCTAACCCCTCGCCGCGCTGGGGTCCACTGTGGCCGCACCCCTCGCCACTCTGGGGCATGCTGTGGCCTAACCCCTCGCCACGCTGGGGCTGGCTGTGGCCTGACCCCTCGCCACGCTGGGGGCCTGCTGCTCCTGCTCGTCCCGCTGCTGGCTCCAGGCTATCACCACCTGCGTCCTGGTGGATGTCCCACTGCTGGTGGTACCCGATGCGGTCCTCCGCACCTTCGAAGGGGTCGTGCTCTTCGTTGTCCTTGGCGCTGCGTTCTGCTGGCGGGGGAGGGGCACCCCTCTGCATCCCTTCTTTGCCACCTCGTGGGCAGCTGTGGGGCTGGCCCACGTCGCTGTGGCCTAACCCCTCGCCGCGCCCCGCTGTGGCCTAAACCCTCGCCACGCTGGGGCTGGCTGTGGCCTGGCCCTTCGCTATGCTGGGGAAAGCTGTGGCCTAACCCCTCGCCACGGTGGGGACCCCTGCCGTCGTCGTCCACCTGCTGGCCCACGCCGAGCACATCTCCGCCGTCTGCCTGCGTCTTGCCGCTTCCTCTGAGTCCTGTTGTTGGATTGCTCGCCGCGCCTCCCCGCTGTTCAACCATGCAAGGCGGCACATCTCCTCAACCGCTGTGCGCTGGCTGGGCTGGCGTGCCTGGTCTGGGTTGTCGCTGAAGGGGCGCTGGTAGAGGCCCGTCTGCAGGGTCTTGAGGACGTAGGGCACGCACGCTGCCCGCCACGTCCCCCATCCTTGTTCCCCAACCCCATGGGTCCAGCACTCTGCCAGAGACTCCATAAGCTGCTCCAGTCGGTTCCGCTCTAGCCACGCGAGCTCCCTCTCTGGGTCCTGATCTTCATCGCCTCGATGCTGACGGAGCCTGGGGTGCTGCATGCCCGCGTCTTTCGCCTGCTGCACGTACTTCATGAGGTCTGGCACGGGCGACTTGGCTAGCTGAGCCCATTGCACCGTGGCACTCGTTTGGACCATGGCCGTGTCGTCATTGAGCGGCCCTTGCCCTGGGATGATGTCCATGTCTTGGCCATGTTCTGCCCATTCCAGTTCTGGAACTTCGCTGTCTGGGACTGAGGAGACGTCATCCGGGTTCTCTGGCGCCCAGGCCCGATACCCTTCCGTGGTGCTGGGAAGTGGCCTCCCCTCTCTGTTGGGGATGCTGTGCGTCAGGATGTTGCCCCTCCTCCCCTGGAAGGCCTCCATGTGCACCCTGGCTGCTTGCTGCCTGGTCCCGTGCGTGAGGGTGAGCATCTGCGTCATGAGCCTCCTGCGCGCTAAGCGGGTGTTCCTCCAGATGTCCTCGCAGAAGTCCTTCGGCTGCTGGCACTCCTGTGGCGTCACTGCCCTCGCCTGAACTTCGCCGGCCGACCTGCCACCTGCGCTGGTGACCGCCATGAGGTAGGGCATGCAGTGCTCCATCCGGTCGTCCATGTCGTCCCAGACCTCCTGGTCCACCATGTTCATCCACTGCTCCGCGTACTCCAGATTTCGTAATAAAAGGGAGGGGGTCTCAACCCTCCCAGGCGAGAAGTTTTAGACCCCCCCCGTGGGAGAACCCTCCAAAACATCGTCCCCATAACCCCCAGGCCCTCCAAGATACCCTGGAAGAGACCCCCCCGAAATGAGACCCCCCTCCCTTTATTACGAAATCTGGAGTACCCTTCCATGTGGTCCACGAGCCTCCAGCTGGCCTGGGCAGCTGACTGGGGAGGATGCGTGGGCCGCCGAGGCTCTGGCTGGGCTGCGTCGAGCTCGAGCTCGGAGCTCTCTGCTTCTAGGTCTAGCACCTCCTCGCTGCTCATCCCCTGTCTGGAGGCGCTCAGGCTTGTTGCCTCGGGAGCTGCTCCTTCGGCGTACTCGTCGTCTGGTGTGGCCTTGCGCCTTCGGTTGGGCAGCCTTCCCTTTCTGCATGTCATAGATTATTGTCCTGCCTGCGACCGTGGGCGGCAAGCCAGGCTTGGCCAGCTTTCGCGCTAATCCTGCCACGATCCTGCTGTGGCGGTTCCCGAGGTAGCTTGTTGCGCCGCACTTCTCACACCACAGCCAGCCTTGCGTGAGCTATATCTTGTGCGTGTCGTGGATCACCTGGGTGCCAATCTTGACCGCCTTGAAATCGAGCCGCTGGTTGCCGTGAAAGTCCAGGTGGCTGCGTTCTCTCCTTTGGCACGCTCCGTTCTCTGCT